TTCCGATCAGCTCTTCCGGTCCCTCTGCTTCTACTTCAGTCCCTGGGGTGGCTACATTGCCAATTGACCCCTTGGTGCCTCTTTTGGGTCCGATGACTACATTAATCGAGCAGCAGGCTCGTATATTGGCTGAGATCACGCAGTTACGTGCTGCTTCGGAGCGTCAGACAGCTGAGATGACTTCGTTTCGCCGTGCTCTTGCTGTTTGTCAGCGTCAGTTGCACTCGATTCGAGATCATTTGGAGGCCAGCACGAGTGCTGAGAGTGGCTCTGATTCTTCCGATGTTGCGGATGCTGCTTCTTAGCTTATTTTTTGTGATTTTTTTGGCGATCTTTGGCCCTTTGTGACAAAAAGGGGGAGTAATTTGAGCATAGTTAGATTGATTTGACTTGAGTAGGTTGGAGTAAATTAATTTTTGAGAACTTGATGAGTATATATGCAATGTTCTAACTAGATTAAGTTTTTGATGTTTTTGCAATCTTAATGTTTGTTATTGGTGTTTTAAACATACATTGTGATTGCTTCTTAATCTGGTTAATGATATATATAATGTATATCTTGTCTCTGACTACTGTTCCCATTTCACTTGCGTTTTCACATGGTATTTTGAGTTTTGCCTTTTCAGGAAACAGGATCAACAAGATATTGCAGAGATAATAGATAGGTTGGAGTCAATGTATTTTCATCCTTGACTATCAAATGTGTTTTTGTCACAGAATACCAAAGGGGGAGTTTGTTAGGAAATATGTAATTGGCAAATCTGTGACCAAGGACCAAAATGTCATAATTGTAAGGTCAAGGATTAAAATGTCATAATTGTAAGGTCAAGGACCAAAGTGTCAAATGTTCAATAGTTCAGGGACTTGAGTTGCAATTAATCAAAGTGTTGAAGGCTAGGTCTAGAGTTGTGATGGATGCCTCGAAGTTGCAAAAGGCACGAGATTTCGCCAGAGTCACGCCATGATCTCGCTCGAGCCAAGATTGCAGAACCACTGTCGCTAGAGCCTCGCCAGCAGGTCGCTCGAGCGAAGTGGACGTCGCTCGAGTCACGCTGGTCCCTCGCTCGAGCGACCTATTTATCTGGGCAACATTAAATTTAAAAGCTCGCGAATTTTTGACGCGCCACAAGACCATATGTTGAGCCCTATAAATACCATTCGTCACCTTCGAGTTGAAGATTGAGGAAATACACATTGAAGCCATATTATTGATTCTCTCTAAAATCCTTGGAGATCAAAATCCTCGAAAAGCTTTTGTTGAAAAACTTTTCTTTAATCTTTCATATTCCTTGGAGATTAATCCTTTATATCTTTCACACCAAGGTTCAAAAAGCCAAACAATCTTCTAAACTTTTCAGATTAAATATCCTTGACTTTTACAGAAAAACATCACACCCTGAAACACCAAAATACCACCTTCTCTAAATCCTATAAAACTTCCAGAAGATCCTCAGATTGAAGATCCGGGAAGAACTTGCTTGAAGAGCGAGAGTGCTTGACGATTCACGGGAAGTAGAAGTCACACAAGGCTGGGATGGTAGCACAGATCTGCTAGATCCAGGAGAGTCTTGTTCTCAAACAGTAAGGAGGTTAGAAAATTGAGGGGATCAATTGTTCTGACGTACTGTAAGTTACCTTCTACAAATAGTGGATCTCTACTGGCTTGTGCCCGGAGTTTTACCCAGTTGGGGTTTCTCCGTCAACATTCGTTGTGTTCTTTTATTGCTTTAATTTATTTATTGTTACCGGTAATTCAACATAAGTAATTAAGACATGTGAATGAATCTGGACAAACTTTAATTCTTGTGACTTGTTGCACGAATTAATTGATAAGTTTTTTTAATTCCGCATGAACACCTATTCACCTCCCCTCTAGGTGTTAGTTGGGTCGAACGTTAGGTTTTTCATGTAGGGAATTTGGATAACAAGAGATCGGCTACAAGTTATGTATTTAGTCTGGCTAGGGGGTCTATTTGTTGGAGGTCTATGAATCAGTCTCTGAATGTGCTATCTACGACTGAGACAGAGTATATGGTAGTGGTTGAGGTTATCAAGGAAGCTTTGTGGTTTACAGGGATGGTCAAAGAGATGAGTGTTCAACAAGGTGGAGTTCAGTTGCAATGTTACAGTCAAGAGTGTCATTTATTGGAAGAAGCACGTGTATCCTGCAAGGACCGATCATATAGATGTAGGCTTTCACATAATCAGGGAATTTAGTTTCTTTGGAAAAACTATTTGAGAAAGTTCGCACGTCTGAGAACGCAGCAGATATATTGAAAAAATCATGTTGTCAAACATAAGCTCAAGCGTTTCTTGAATTTGATTAACGTTTCCAGGTGATAGAGATGAGATGCCCCAACCTATTGGTCCCAAGTGGAGTTCTCCAGGCTATGCTTTTCATAGTTTCTCCTAAAGGAAGGATATTCATCAAGGTGAAGATTGTAATATGTTAATCATATAATGTGAAACACATATATATTGGAGAAGCAGATCGATGTCGAAGTGGACTAGAGAAGTGCGGAGCGTCAAAGTGTCAAACCACGTAAATATGTGTTCTCTCTTTGTTGATTCCATACTTTTCGTCATTATTGTGCACATAACACAGCAGCTTCAATCTCCTCAAATGGACCAATCTTCTATGAAGCTAACTTATGATACTCACGAGCTAGAAACCTGTAATTCTGAGCGCAGCCCACACAAATCACCAACATTAAAAGCCAATGCCAGATGCTGATGATCAAAAACCAGGTTCTACAGTAAATTTCTTGTCTCCGATCTGCTACATGTAGTGGCATGAACCTATTGTAATGTCTCAAAAAGATGAGCAGCTCGCCCCTCCACACTGCCCCGAACAGTTCTGTAAAAAGGTCGAAGGGGAACCCAAAGCAATGAACAACAAACAATTTTTGAAGGGCAGAACCTGTACTCCGATTAGGTGCGTGATCGTGACTCAATTTCTGATCCCTAGCCTTCAATCAGTCCCCAAAAAACAGCAATAGAAGCCTGCCTCTTGGCCAACTGACAAACCCAACAGCGTGTGATGGGGCATGACACCTCATTCCTAAGAGAAGGGCAGATAAATCATCGAGACGCCAAACTGAAGGAGCGGGTTCAGCAAACATGACCTTCACTGTGTGCCTCAGCTATAATTATTGCCTTAAGCTACAATCAGGAATACAATGCAGGAGGCCTCGATAAAGAAATCTATTCTCAAGAGTAAACTTAGATTATTTTCCCTCCCAAAGACAATCCAAAACGCACCAAAAAATATAAGAATTATATTCTGCAAAAGAATCGAAGCCAGTTATCTATACTTAACGTCAACTGAGAGCATCAGCACCCTGATTCGTCACTAGGACTTGTGCTTAATAACAAAGTAAACGGCTTCGTGTAGTTGTTTGCCCAAACTGCAAGTCTATGGTTTCATGGCTATATAGTAATATGGATTTAAGTCCAAGTATCATTCCCTCGAAGACTACATTATTAACTAGCAATTTCATTTAAACCTAGCTTCAATTTAAACTAGCATAAAAACCAATTAATAAGTTACTAAGTGGATATAAATTAAAATGTATACTAAATTCTAACTAACACAATCAAGACTTGAAAATTTTATGAAAGCTTTGATGGGATTAAGTTAGGAATTCCAATTTCGCCTAGGTCAATTTATGTTTAACTTCATTCAACATACTACAATCCTACTCATACTTGTTAACAACCGAACTATCAAATTTAACTAGTAGTATCTCTCGAGTAAAATTATCCTTATTTGCACGACAAACTTACTATATCTTTATATAAATTTTGATACATAAATGCATTAAATCATACAAGATCACTTTAAAGGTTATTAAAACCTACATCACTTATTGCATGAGCTGAACATACATACCACCTCTAAGTATTAGCATAGTCCTTAAATTTATCTACTGGCGATCAAGCAACTGATTTAATAAGCACACAGTAAACCATTAACACAATGCAAAAATGGACATGAAGTCTTTGAATTTAATAAACACAAATGACTTCAGCTATATCATTCATCCTAATATATAGAATATTTGCTGCTCCTAACGGTGGAAAAATATGATGAAACATATAAAAACTTCATGTTTAACTTGCTTGTGAATGAAAATTATCTGCAAAATTGTTGGCATGCAGAGCAATGTTGTCAAAATGCATCAGCCCTTTCCTCAAATTTTTGTCCAGAATCGATCAGATTAATACAGAAAGAAACTCAATGAGAGGAAAATTCTTCAAGAAAAATAACTTCACAAAATCTCTTTGTATATCCTTACAAATTGATCTGTAAAGACGAATTTTATTAAACTAAACACACTGTATTTCACAAGGATCCCAAATATTTAAACTAAGGAAATTGTAGCCACTACATCTACTTTATACAATAGAAAAAAAAAACATATATATATAAGTTCTGTTATCAACTTGAGGTACTTCAAGGACATATACCACCCAGTAGTGGACTAAACTAGACAATATGATGAAATGTATCAAGTGAACTTATTAAAGCAAGAAGGAAGAAATGGAATGAACTGAATTTTATTCATTCTTAACTTTTAATTGATACGTACATCAGCCGTATAAATAATACCTAAGAGTGAACAGACTAACCATTTAGTAACTAACTAACAGCCTTGATAATTATCTAATACAACAACTTATGATATTTATCTGATACAACAACCTAACCATGTGCAGGTAGTTTTGTTCCAGCTTTATCTCGTGTGGATAGCTCTAATACTCCCCCTCAAGATGTACTGTAAATATTCTTTACAGACATCTTGGATAATAATGGATTAAGTACAGATGCATGAAGTGGCTTAGTGAATGCATCAGCAATCTGGTGTTGTGTTCGAATTGGTAGCAACTTGATTACTCCAGCAGCAACTTTTTCTCGTATGAAATGGCAGTCAATCTCGATGTGTTTGGTACGCTCGTGAAATATGGGATTGGATGCAATCTGAATTGCAGCTTGATTGTCACAAAAAAGGATGGCTGGAGAAGCTACATTTATCTGGAAGTCCTTCAGTAATTGTTTGAGCCAGACAATCACTGATGGTAGCAGCTACAGCTCGATATTCAGCTTCGGCTGATGATCTGGACACAGTGGCTTGCCTTTTTGATTTCCAAGATATCATAGAATTCCCAATGAAGATACAAAATCCTGTTGTTGATTTTCTTGTGTCAACACAAGAACCCCAATCAGCATCTGAGAAAGCTTGTAATTTTAGATCAGAACCATCATTTTTAGCTGAGAAAAAAATGCCTTGACCTGGACTGTTCTTCAAATATCGAAGCAAATGATGTGCTGCTTTAAGATGTGGCAACCTGGGCTGAGATAGAAACTGGCTGAGTTTGTGAACAGCATATGTAATGTCTGGTCTTGATATTGTCAAGTAAAGTAGCCTTCCAATTAATTGTCTGTATTGAGAGGCATCTGTCAAAAGATCACCTTCATGTAAACTAAGATGTGTTTTTGGATCCATAGGAGCATTTGCTGGTTTGCAGTTTAAGTAACCTGTATCTTCAAGCAGTTGTAATGTGTAATGTCTCTGTGATATCACAATACCAGAATTTGATCGGGCTATTTCAATTCCCAAAAAATATTTCAGGTTCCCCAAATCTTTCAATTTGAATTGAGAATGTAAGAAGTCCTTCAAGGAATTAATAGCTTGAACATTAGGACCAGTGATGACTATGTCATCCACATACACCAATAAGGCTATAAACTGATCTCCTTGCCCTTTGGTAAACAATGAATAGTCAGCCATTGATTGAATGAAACGAAAATTAATCAGTGCTTGAGAAAATTTAGAGTTCCATTGGCATGATGCTTGTTTGAGCCCATAAATGGACTTGTGTAGTTTGCATACCAACCTCTCCCCCTGTCTGGCAATTTTGGTTGTCTGGTAACCAAGTGGCAAGTCCATGTATACCTCTTCAAACAAGTCTCCATTTAAAAAAGCATTGTTAACATCCAATTGTACCAAGTGCCATTTTCTATAAGCTACAAGTGCTAATAACAGCTTTACAGTCACTATCTTCGCCACCGGAGAAAAGTGTCAAAGTAATCCAGCCCTTCCTGTTGTGTATAACCTTTAGCCACTAAACGGGCTTTATGCTTTCAACAGTACCATCTGATCGATACTTGATTTTATATATCCATCAACACCCAACAGAATGTTTTTCGTTTGGTAAAGCAACCACAATCCATGTATGATTGTGATCCATAGCATCTAGTTCATGTTTCATGGCTTCACGCCATCGAGGATCTTTCACTGCCGATGAAAATACTGCGGTTCATGATGAGTTGAGACATTAAGAACAAGATTTTTGTATGTGGGCGTCAAATTTTCATAGGATAGAAACTGACCAACGTGATAAGATATCTGAGGACATGGCTGGGAACTTTGATCTATCAAATTGCAATGAAAATCCTTTAGATATGTAGGTGGTCTGATTACTCTATGTGATCTTCTTACTTCAACAACGTGAGGCACATTATCAGATTGTTCAACTGTATTTTCAGCATTGTGAGAAGTTAATTCTGTCTGAGGAGGAAGTGATGAATCCACTTGCTCATTATGATTTTTCTCAAGAATTACATCTGATTGTTCTGGATGAATGGATAATGAAGATGCTGGTAACACTAGATCAGGAAAAGGATCAATTAGATGATTATCCTTTACCACTGTATGAAATGGAAAAATGTCTTCATGAAACATCACATCTTGTGATGAAAAGACCTGTTTTGACACTACATCATACAGTTTATAACCTTTGATGCCAGAAGGATATCCCAAAAACACACACATTAGCTCTTGGTTGAGATTTGTTTCTATTTGCAGTTAAGGTAGAGGCAAATGCTAAGCATCCAAGCACCCTCATTAATGAATAATCTGCAGCCTCCTTATAAAGAACCTCATATGGTGTATTGTTATTCAAGATTGGAGATGGTGTTCTATTGATCAAGAAAGTGGCAGCCAATACACAATCAGGCCAGAATTTAATGGGAACTCTTGACTGAAAATACAGGGCCCTTGCGACATTTAAGATATGTTGGTGCTTGTGTTCCACCACTGAGTTTTGTTGAGGCCTTTCAACACAGCTAAATTGATGTAAAACTCCTTTTGTAGCAAAGAAGTCTTTGAAGGCTAATTCAGAAGCATTGTCAGATCTGAAAACCTTTATTTTGGTATTGAATTGTGTTTCAACCATATTAAAGAATCGAGGTATGGCATTAGCAGCATCTGATTTTTGCTTCAACAAATATAGCCAAGTGAATCTTGAACAATCATCCACCAACATTAAAAAGAATCTGTGTCCTGTATATGATGCAGCCTGGTATGGCCCCCAAATATCACAATGCACAAGATCAAAGGGATTTCTTGAGAAATGATAATTTGACTCGAAAGACAACCTTCTTTGTTTGGCAAGAGGGCAAATATAACATGGAGAACATTTATTTGATTTTGAAGCATCATAAGAAATTTTATTTTTCAAGCATTCTAATTTTCTAAAAGAGGGATGGCCTAATCTATTATGCCAAACTTGGATAGACACATTGCTTACAAGTGCATTTGAAACAAAATCAGCATTAGAGTTTGAACTCAGATCTTTGGTGTCAGGAACCTACAAGTCCTGCAGCTTATTACCCTTGCCAGTCATCTTCTTGGTTATGACTTCCTGGATAATGAAATGATCATGAAAGAAACCAACTGTGAGATGAGAGCCACGTGTTAAAGCACTAACAGATAACAGGTTAAACTTGAATTGAGGGACAAATAGGACATCATGAAGTATAAGATCAGGATTTAATCTGACTTCACCACATAGTGTAACAGGTATCCGTGTGTTATTTGGCAAAGTGACTGTAGAATTATCCAGTATCCTCATTGACATAAAAGCAGAAGCAACAGAACAAACATGTTTGGGTGTACCAGAATCCACTATTGAAATGTTCTTGGATGAGAACATAGGATTTTCTGATATTGAATAACATTTACCTGCCGCATATGATGTAGCATTGTTGTCATGATGCTCAGATGTTTCTGCAATAGAACTCGAAGCCAAGTGAGAAGACAGCATGGTCATCAATTGTTGGTACTGACTGGGATTCAGATTTTGCATAAAGCTTCCAACTCCAGTTTGTTGCTCATATTGTGCACTTTCAATTTTAGAAACTGGTACATTTGTAGAAATCTGATTAACTTGACTGGTACTAGAATAACTTTGAGAGTTATCTCTAGATTTGGATTTATAGCCTAGTGGATAGCCATGTATTTTGTAACATTTATCAACAGAATGTCCATGGAAATCGCAATGAGAACGATAAAGCCTTTCTTTCTTTTTAACTCCTCCATTATTGCCAAACCTTGAAGTATTGTTATATGTTCCAAGATGAATGATTCCCTTCCCATAATTTGCCTTCAATGCAAATGCAGCAGCTCCATTTGAATCATTTGCAGATGTCACCTGATTTCCAATTTTTCTCTGGTTTTCTTCTTGAGAAATTAATGTAAATACTTTGTTGATTTGAGGTAAGGAATCGTTGAGCAATATCTGTCCTCTAATTTGTGAGAAGGAATCACGCAATCCCATTAAAAACGACATAGTGTACTCACTTTGATAGTGATTATTCATTTCCTTCACACCACCACATGTGCATTTTCCACAGTTGCAGGTAGGTCGATAATTGCTTAGTTCCTCCCATAAGGTTTTGAGTTTAGTGAAAAACACAATTACACTATCTTGATCTTGAATCAGATTCATCAAGTCTCTTATCAACTGAAATATACGTGGTCCATTCTTCTGCTGGAATCTGTCCTTTAAATCAGTCCATATCTCGTACGCTGTCACAGCATATATTACGCTTGCAGAGATTTCTTTTGAGACTGAGTTCCGAATCCAAGATATAACAATGTTATCATTTCTAGTCCACGAGTTGAGTAGTTCAGAATTTTCATCGTCTGGTTCAGTTATGGATCCATCGATGAATCCAAGTTTATTTTTGATAGACATAGCAATTCTCATAGCACAGCTCCAGGAGGCATAGTTATCTCCGGTGAGCTGTTGTGACACCAACATCAGACCTGGACTATCGGAATGACGAAGGAAGTATGGACCTGAAGGATCATCAATAGGCATTTTTGTTTGTTCTGATTGTGATTTTAGTATGTAGCGGAAATAAGGATAGATCCTATCAAGACCGGATCAGTTCAATAATAAGAACAGAACAAAGTATATTTTGAAAGAAACTTTTTTTTTTATATATATAAAAATTATTTGATTTGAGTACATGACAAACCTATTTATAGGATAGCATATGACTACTAAGAGTCACACAATTAAGAAGAATAATAATGACTAATAATGATGGTGAATGCATCCATCTCTTCATCTTCCTCTCCAACACTCTTCATCTTCCTCTCTAACACTCTTCATATTTCATCATGTGAAGAAAACCAAAAGTCTTCAATAATCAACATTCTCCTCCTTGAAGCTTTTGGGTAAAACTCCAATCTTCAATCTTAAGTCTTCAAACCTGGATTTGGGCAATGCTTTAGTGAACATATCTGCAATTTGAGATTCACCTGGACAATATTGTAGATGAACTTCTCCTTCTTTCTCAGCTTGTCTGATAGCATGGAACTTCACTTTAATATGCTTGGTTCTTCCATGATCAACTGCATTCTTTGCAACAGCAATGACTGATTGATTATCCACCATGATAGTTGTAGGATCATCTTGACTTTTCGCAAGATCATTAAGAATTTTCCTCAACCAAACGGCATGATTTACAGCTGATGATGCTGCAATATATTCAGCTTCTGCTGTGGATTGTGCCACTACTTCTTGCTTCTTTGAATTCCAACAGAATGCTCCCGAACCAAGTGTAAATAGATAACCACTCGTGCTCTTCATATCATCCACGGAACCTGCCCAATCACTATCTGAATATCCAATCAAATTTGAGCCAACTCCTCCAGCAAAATAGATGCCATGATTTATTGTTCCTTTGATATACCTAAGGACCTTTTTGGCAACTCCAAAATGTGTTTGTGATGGCTTACTCATGAATCTAGAAAGTAAGCTTGCCGCAAACATCAAATCTGGTCTTGTTGCTGTCAAGTACAGTAAACTTCCAACAAAACTCCTTTATTCCTTCTCATTGATTGGCTGGTCTCCATCTTCTTTGGATAATTGTGTTCAACGCAACTGGTGTATCAACTGGTTTACACTGCTGCATCTTGAACCTCTTCAAGATATCACTTGCATATTTCTTTTGTGAAATGAAAATACCATTTTCTGTTTGCTCAACCTCAATGCCCAAAAAATACTTCATCTCTCCAAGATTTGTCATCTCAAATTCTTCCTTCAATTTATCAGCAAACAAATCAATTTGCTTTTTACTGTTTCCTGTGATGAGTAAATCATCCACATACATGGATAGAATTAGGATATCAGAATTTTCATCACTCTTCACGTAAAGAGTATGTTCATTTTCACTCCTCATGAATCCTTTAGCGCATAGATAACCATCTATTTCTCTATACCAAGCTCTTGGCGCTTGTTTCAAACCATACAAGGCCTTTTTCAGCTTGCATACATGATCAGGATAGATTCTAGACTGGAAACCTTCAGGTTGTTCAACAAAAACATCCTCCTCCAGTTCACCATTGAGAAATGCGGATTTTATATCCAACTGATGTATCTTCCACTTCTTTTGTGCTGCTAGTGCAATCAATAATCTGATGGTGTCAAACCTTGCAACCGGTGCAAAGGTGTCAAAATAATCAACACCACTTTCTTGTGCAAATCCTCTAGCAACTAACCTTGCTTTGTATTTGTTCACTGTGCCATTTGGATTCATTTTTGCCTTGTAAATCCACTTCACTCCAATCACTTTTCTTTCATCAGGACGAGGTACCAATTCCCAAGTCTGATTTTTATGAATCATCTCCATTTCAGTTTCCATTGCATCAACCCATTCAGAATTTGTTGTGCCTCTTCATAACTGCTGGGTTCAACCACTGCCATATTACACCTCTGATAAATCTCATTCAAAGATCTGGTTCCTCTAGGAGCCGAACTAGATCTTGAAGATTCAGAATTTTCTGCAGTAGGTGCGATAGATTCTATCTCGGAAGACTGAACTTCTGGTGTTGGAGTTGAAGTTTCCACT